TTGGCGGTATCGGCTATTTCAGATGGTCAGCTGAGCCTTCATTTTTGTGATCTTTGCTCACACTTTTGGTTAGTATATGACTGGTCTGACTGCTGTGCATAACAGATAGCTAGTTATAGTTTGGTTTCGAGTCCCGTATTTGGTATTGTTACTTTAATTGCATCGATCTCAATCCAACTATTTTCTGTATGTGCTGAGTTTAGATGTGATATACATGGAATTTTGTTGAAAATGTTCTACTGTGGTAATGTTTTGGAGTTAATGATTTGGCATGAGGTTTATGTTCATTAACTGTTTGCAAGCATTTTCAAAGGTTGATGAGCAAGTAGCAGTATGCTTGTGAATATATTTTCATCTCTATCCAATTAGAATCAGGGTGGTATTTATTTATTTTTCAATAATCCATTTGAGTTTGTTAATTATTTATCAGTGTTTGAGAAATTGTTGGCTTTAGATTTGCAGTATTGTATAATACTTGTTGCTGTTTGGTTAGAACTAATACAACTGAGATAGGTATCAACTCCATACTTACAAAACAAGTCTCATCAACTCCATAATACATTATTGCTAGTGCTGTTTCATGTCTTAGTGTTTATACATATCACCATAAATCTCTGTCATCTCATCAAAACATAATATCAAATTATCAAACACTAACAAACATAGCACGATTTGAGACTCTTACTACCACTTTGAATCTCGAAGCCACAATTTTTATGGCACTGGTATAATCTGCTACTAACATTCCCCATGTTATATAAGTCAAGTGGATGTCCTGTTTTATATTTGAAGTGAAGCAGGGCAACCTTACGGATGGCAGCAATCTTACGAGTGGATGTCTTGTTTTATATTTGAAGTGAAGCAGGGCAACCTTACGGATGGCAGCAATCTTACGAATGGATATTTTGTTTTATATTGATCTGTTTATATTCTGTTTTATATTTCTTCTGTGCAGATTGCAAAGCCGCCGCAATTCGCCGTAAACATTAAAGCTACGACTAGCTAGGATGTGACATCCCCAGCTAACGTGGCTTTCTTCAGCGGCATAGCAACAATTTTCAGAAGAAGCAACAATAAGGCATCAGGAAGCAACAAGAACCTGTTGCGACTTCCTCAAATATCGGCAACAGCAACACAGACTCAAGGTGTATAGAGCAATGGTTGAGTTCACCAGCAGTTCAAAGCACCAATTCACCAAAGGCTGTCGCGACAGTTTGACGCTGTTTTTTATTGTTTTTTGGTTTGACTTCGGTTATGGATTATGGTATCATGTGTTTTTCACTAATTCAATGTGTTTTGCCTACTGGTTTTTGGTGATTTTGTTATACCAGCTATGTGGATAAGTGCTTGTAGCTTGTTGATGATAACAGGTGTTGGCAAGTGTAAAACTTCAGGATGTATATTTGGTTGTGACAATTCGGTTTTGATACTGAAAATTTTATAATTACAACTTCTAGCAGCTATGTTTTTTTTTTAGTTCTAATGTGGGTAAACTCTATGAGTAAGTATATTTCAATGGTCGGCTGCTCTCGTAGCATTGCAGATATTTTGGATTTGTTTTAATATTAGTTTTCTATATGATAAACCTGTGATCTCATTTTATTATGGTTGTTGCTTATACGGTTAATTAATCTAAAGTTTTAATGTTTAACGATTGGTACTTGTACAGCTTATTAGTTTGTCCATACAAGATTAGTATTGCGGTTCTTTCGATAATGCGGGGAAGAGACTCACATATATTATGGTTTTGTTTTGTGACATCGTCGGTTTCCTTCTACTCCGAACTACACTTCTTACTCATCTGATGCTTATAATTACACTATTCATTTATGGATATTGTTTGTTTTGTTTTGTTTTTCTTCTTTTGACTACAATTTTTTTCGTTTTATTGAATTAAATTTATTAAATTTATGGAGGATTAAGATGCTTGTATTAGATGGGAATTGGTTTCATTAGGATGCAAAGGAGGTACTTCAAGACAAATGGCTTGCTCATGTTGGGATTAAAAGGAGAAAGAAAAGATTTCGTGACCATGCCTTCGATCGGGTTTTAATTTTATTTCTTAATCCTTATCTCCATTCGATAACAATGTACCTCTCCTTCCAAATGTAATAGTTCCTTTCTTACTTGTGCTTTTATGCCTCAAAATATTTTTTAAAATTAACTTCTCGATTCATCGAGCCCTTTCCACCCATGTAAGCCGAGTACTTTCAAAGCCTCGCCATCGACCTTTGAGCACCATACACAACATTTTAAAGCTTAATCCTGGGCTTCCTTACAGTGACACCTATTTGATCAGTTACTTCTAATTGGTCACTTAGAAGACTAGCCCACTTTGCTAGTATACACGCTTAAAATTTAAATTCAAACCTCGACTCACCTCGAGTACTTTTTCAAAGCAAATTAAATCTTTGAATTCTAGCACTTCTTGGATTTTCGGATGATCATTAGCGAGGTGTACACCTTAAATAATGCATTATTCAACTTTTTGTTTTTTTAAATACACTCTCTTGGACAAAGAAATATCATAGGAATCAAACATTCTGTGTGATATTTCTGTCATTCATCCAATCATTTTTCAAATGAAAGAGGCGTTGTCGAGATCTAGCATTTCGATAATTCCCCAATTAATTGGTTGTGAGGCCTACGTCTCATTTATCAAATAATTGTCATTTCTCTTATTTTCAAAATCCAATATCGTATTCTTACCTCTCGTATTGCAAACTCTTTTCATACCCTCGTTTCAATTCTTCAAAATATCTTTCTCGACCGAAAGAAGAAGGTTCTTGGAATCTAGCATTCCTTGAATTTTCGAGTGAATAACTCTCGAAGCACGCCCTTTGAGTTGTTATTCACTCAACCTTTCGAATTCAATCACTTTCAAACATTCTCCTAAGTCGAATGCTCGTCCGCATTCGCAACCCATTTCTTTCACAACTCCTCGTGGTTTTTGATATTAGGGGCACCCTCAGGGACTAATATCATTTCTCACAACCCTAATACTTGACACGTCGTCAAGTCGATTCCATTTTCAAACAAATCCTCGACACGTCGTCGAATTACTTCCAAACCAACTTCCTTTGGCCTCGCATGCCATTCTTCGATTCGATCTTTTCACAAAACATTTTTAAAACTTACGAAAGAGAAATATTCTTAGAATCTAGCATTCTTTGAATATTCGAATGAGAAACTCTCGAGGCGCGCCCTTGAGTTGTTATTAATTCGTTCTTTCGATTTCAAAACATCCAACTCTTCATCTTCAACTTATTCAGTCAATTCCCGAAAGAACTGAGTTCTTGGAATCTCGCATTCCTTGAATTCTTGAATGAGAAACTCTCGAGGCGCGCCCTTGAGTTGTTATTAATTTGTTCTTTCGATTTCAAAACATCCAACTCTTCATCTTCAACTTATTCAGTCAATTCCCAAAAGAACTGAGTTCTTGGAATCTCGCATTCCTTGAATTCTTGAGTGACAAGCTCTTGAGGCGCGCTCTTGGGTTGCTTGTCAGTCACTCTTTCGTCTCTTTCTCAAACTTTCAACTCATTCAACCTCATTTTTTCGTGGTTGTTACCACGAACTACGACTGCTCTGATTCTTCATTCTCGTCCGAATGTAAGATACGTAGGCACAAGATTGCGATAATCTTGGCGAGCTACCTCCCCTCCATTTTCCATTTCCCAGTATCCATTTCATGGTTGTTACCACGAACTACGGACGCTCTGATTCTTTATTCGTTTTTGAATATAAGATACGTAGGCACAAGATTGCGATGATCTTGGCGAGCACACTTCTACCTTTCTCCACAATTCCACCCCATCCTTTCCCGTGGTCGAACTACGAAGCTCTGATTCCTCATTCTCGTCCGAATGAGCATACGTAGGCACAAGGGCCCCAATCCTTGGCGAGCACCCTATCCTCTAATCACCCATCTCTCCTTAGCGTCTTTAACATTTTATCCTACCAATTCTACCTTTATCAACGAGAAGAAAACCAGTAAACCTAGACAACACTCCCCACATTTACCTTAAGAGGTTCCCGTCGAGTACGACGGACGTGAGGGGTGCTAATACCTTCCCCTCACGTAACCGACTCCCGAACCCGGAACATGGTTGCGACAGCCCTGTTCCTATCCTTTTCGTTTCAAGAGGTTTTCTCGATATTTTCCTCTCCCGTTTACTCGGGAAAAATAAAGTTCGGTGGCGACTCTGTCGAACCGCATTTCCGCGCCTTTCGCGCGAGGGTCGTATTTTCGAATGAATTTTTCGAGGTGCGACAGTATTCTTTGATCTTCCATATTGGTCTAGCCTCGATGTAATATATTTTCTTGATCTTCCATACTGGTGTAGAAATTAATGAATTAGAAGTCACATGGGTTGATCTTCGAAAATCAGCTTATATGAACAAACAATTCATTAGGCATCCAAAGCAAAATAAGGTTTTTTATGTCATTGATACTTCTTACACTAGATGGTAATGAAAATCAAGATTTAAATTTTGAGACTCCTTCTTTCGCAACACATGTGCGTCTCTCATCCGAAAAAAATGGTTAAGATAATGTGTAAGTTGTTTGTTATGATCATCAATAAGGAATATAGGAAAACTAGTAAGGAAATATTTCATATGACTTAGTACTATATATTTATTTATTTTACATTTGTAACTTTTTACTAATATTTATTTTTTTCATCTATGTAGAAATGTCAAAGAATATTATATATTGCATGGTTTTAGAATTAAAAGATAGACATTGTTAAGTATAAAATAAGTGTTATTATTTATGAGATTCATATATGCTTATATATTTATGTTGTTGTTGAGATAAATGGAGTATTTTGAACAAAACATAAAGAGTTATATGTTACCAAAAATATTTTCCATATGGTTGAAGAAAAGTTCAAAAGACAATAGCGAAAGAAATGCGGGTCTTATGGAGCACTCCCCCAACACAAACAACACTCTCTTCATTCTCTCTTTCCTTCATTTTTTCCATCCATCCAAAAATGTACACCACTCCATCATCACCATCCTACAGAGTGGCGCCGGTACCTGGTTCATTCCGCCACAGTTTCCTTGAAAAAGGCAGAGAAAGACTCCTCGCTAAAAAGGATTATCCCGGCAACGATTTCTCCTTCAATGAACCCCTCCAACAACCCTTTTACAAACGTGCTTTCGATCTCGACGCACTTTCTCAACGCTTCGCCAACATTCGCAATGACTCGCTTGAGTTCTTCCACAAACTCCACCATATGGGCCGCAGTGATCCACGCAAAGTCATCTTCGCTATGAAGGCTGCATTATCCTTGGCTATTGTTTCACTTTTCATTTACATTAAAGAACAACAAGTTAACAAGTACTCTATTTGGGCTATTCTCACAGTTGTCGTTGTTTTTGAATTCAGCATAGGTACGTCCTTACTTGTTACGTACTATTCCATTCCCATGCATGCATAACCAAATTCCATGTTAATATTGTTTTGTTTTTTTTGTGTATGTGCGTAGGTGCAACCCTTAACAAAGGTTTCAATCGTGGTTTGGGAACAATTTCAGCTGGAGTACTTGCTTTGGGGATTGCGCGATTATCCGTTTGGATTGGTGGTGCTTTTGATGAACTTCTTATTATAGTAGCTATTTTTATTGCAGGTTTGTTTTTTGAGGATTCATGCATTTGTTTTGTGTTGGTATTGGGGAGATGATTATATTCTGATGTCGTGATTTGCAGGGTTTTGTGCAACTTTTTTGAAGATGTATCCTGCAATGAAGCCTTATGAATACGGGTTTCGCGTATTTTTGCTAACGTTTTGTATTGTGTTGGTGTCTGGGAGACATGGAATGCAGTTTTTCACCACTGCTTTTTATAGATTGGTTCTTATTGGTGTCGGTGCTGGTGTGAGTTTGTCTGTGAATATTTGTATTTATCCCATTTGGTCTGGTGAGGATCTCCACAAACTGGTTGTGAAAAATTTCCACGGAGTTGCAACGTCTTTAGAAGGTTCGTTTGTGTGTAATTTGAGCTGGTTATGTTCTATAGAATCTGATTTTTGTGGTACATTTTGTTTTAGGTTGTGTAAATGGATATCTACAATGTGTTGAATATGAGAGAGTACCATCTAAGATTCTTGTATATCAAGCCTCTGATGACCCTCTATATGACGGTTATAGAACTGCAGTGCAATCTTCAAGCCAAGAAGAGACTTTGGTATTCTGCTTAAATTCTTTCTTGCTTGCAGTGTTTAATGTTTTAGTCTCTTACTTATTTTTTTGAGCCTTTTTGCAGGTAGATTTTGCATTATGGGAGCCACCTCATGGTCCATACAAGATGTTCAATTATCCTTGGAGAAGTTATGCCAAACTTAGTGGAGCATTGAGGCATTGTGCTTTCATGGTCATGGCAATGCATGGATGCATACTTTCTGAAATACAGGTATTACAACACTTTCTCCTTTTGTACCTAAGTCTCCGCCAGAGCCGTCTCAAGTTTTTGGAGGCCCTACAAATAGAGGCACGCTCTGAAAGACGGCCCTGGTCCCCGCGTCACTCTGGTTACGAGTTATTGTCCAATTTGAGTGTAAGAATCCTCACGGCTTTGTCGTTTAGAAAAGGCACATCGTTAGCTTGAGGAATGTTGAGGAATGTAGTGTTGTATATAAACTATCCTTAGTCTGGAACATATTCCTCTGTAGCTTGGAAAACACTCAACAACATAAATGATCGACATTTTTATACATTGTCAATGTCATACACAGGCACCTCCAGAAAAGAGGTCGGTATTCTTTCAAGAACTTCAGAAGGTAGGCATTGAAGGAGCAAAAGTATTGCGACAACTAGGAAGCAAAGTCGAAAAGATGGAAAAACTAAGCACAAGGGACATTCTGATAGAAGTCCACGAGGCCGCCGAGCTATTGCAGATGAAGATTGATAGTCATTCATTCCTCCTAGTCAATTCAGAGAATTGGGAAGCTGTAAGACAACACCAGTCCAAAGAAAATGAACGATCCCGCAACTCGACTAACGAGAATACTAAGCAGTCAGTGATCAACGAGGCGGGGGAGGATTCACAGCTTAACATAAGCATACAACATTCGATGTCGGAATTGAGTTTCGCGCAGTCTATGAACAAGAGCTTAGTATCATGGCCTCATCTCTCTTTTTGCAATGATGCCATAGTGAATGAAGCAGAATCTAAAGTATATGAAAGTGCTAGCACATTGTCTTTGGCTACATTTGCTTCACTTTTGATAGAGTTTGTTGCAAGACTTCAAAATCTTGTGGATGAGTTTCAAGATCTTAGTGAGAAGGCTAATTTTAAAGACCCTTTTGACCAACCTATTTTGAAGTGAAAACAAATAGGTTGATTTTCTTGAAACCAAATATAGATTTGCAAGATATTGCCCAGATTAGCCACAAGAAAACAATTGCTACGTGGTATATGATCTTGTTGAGAAGAAGAAAGTGAAAGGATGAATTTGACATTCATTGGGATCCACTGGCAGAATCAAATGTAAACTTGTCCCAATAGAGGAACTTTCAAATTTCAGAAATCTTTTAGTTCTGCTTTTTTTTCTTTCTGGTTTTTGGCATCTTTGATGTAGTTAACCAACATGGCTTATGTGTTGAGAGTTATAATTGTCATATGAATCAACATTCAATTGTTTCCAAGTTTCTTCGTGTTTGTTAGTTTGGACAGGAGATATGCTTTGGAATTGAGATTTCTTGATCCATAAGTTATAATTGTTATATGAATCTTATCTATTAGAGATAAATTTAATAGTTTTTTATTAGTTTGTTAGGCTTTGTTAGTATTGTTATTAATTTGTTAGTATTTGTTATTGTTGATCCTGTTTTTAAGTTTTGAATGATAGATCATCAGCCTATATATATGAAGGTATGTCATGTATCATCAGAAACCATAAGAATATAATATATTTTTCAAGTTAACTTTCTATTATAGCATTCAAACACGGTTCTGATTCGAAAGAGATGTTGGAGAAGAAAAATACCTTCAAACCTGAAACAAAGAACACAATAAAGAATACATAAGTCTTTCATCTAAATAACTCTGATAATTCTAGAACTCCACTCGTGACAGCATTGTTGAATGGAGAAACACACCGCACATGGGCAAGATCGATCAATACGGCTTCGTGTGCGAAGACCAAACTGGATTTCATTGATGGAAGCATCAAGAAACCATCAAGCTAATTTGAAGTGTACCATGATTGAGAGAAGGTGAATTCAATGGTGACAACTTGGTTGATCAATGCGACATAACCAAATATACACAACAACATCTCACATGTTTCAACGGCTCGAGATGTGTGGGTGGATCTTAAAGAACGCTTTTCTCAGACCAATGCACCATAAATTCATCAACTGAGAAGAAACTTGTGTTTAATGTAGAAACAACTAGAAACAAGTGTAACAGATTACTACACTCAATTTAAAAGTCTTGATGAATTGAGTGAATTGTAAACCCTACCTGAATGCAGTTGCAGAGTTGCTAAAGTATTAACACAAAGGGAAGAAGAACAGTGATTCCATCTTTTTTTTAGAGGCTTCGATAGTGAATAATACTCTCATATCAAGGTGTCGTACCTAAAAAAAATACGACATCGCGAGACGCATCACACGCTCGCAAAAATGACGGACTAACAGAGTGCCACGAACTTTATTTATTCACAAAAAATAAAAAGGGAAATATCGATAAAATCCCTAAAAGAACGACTAAGATATGGTCGTCACAACCAAACCAGTGTTCGGAAGTCGATTAGACAAAGGGAATATATTAGCACCCCTCACATACATTTTACTCAACGGAAACCATTTAGTTAGTTTTGTGTGTAAGTGTTAGCTTAGAAAATGTTTGCTTCTCGAGTTATTAAAAGTTAAAAGAGAAAAAGAAAGGGATCGCAAAAAGGTTTTTTTATTAATGTGCCTGACCAGATTGTGGGTCTTGCTCCTACGTATCTCCGGGTGCGATGGAGAACTCAATACTACATAGTTCTGGATAGAAAATGTTTGTTCGTTGGTCAATTTTAATGAAATCTATTTTGTCTCAATCGACAGAAAAACATTGTTTGCTACCAAAAATAGTGGAGAAGGGAACGTTTGCAGCAAATTAATGAAAATGGTGAATGGTTTAATTTGAGAAAATGGCTCGACGTTGGATCGAGCGCTTCTTTTTTGTTCTTTTAAAAAGTTATTGATTTTAATCTTAAGTTAGAATTTAACTAAGACGAAAAAACAATCAAAAGGAAAGCGATAAAAGTACACAAACAATACAACGCGGGGGTGAGGGATACATTTTTCTAAATGGGGATTGTTGTAATGATAATAATAAAGTCAATACAAAGTAAACCAAAATGCAACAAATGAGGCGCACACAACATATTTACATCACTCATTCAATATAATTGAATCAAAAGAAGTAAAGCAAAAGTGGAGCGCGCACGGATCAAGATCATAATGTGATGACGCGAATCCAATTCGTGTGACGCAAAGACATGCAAAGTCACAAAAATAGAATCTAAATTCGATTTAAGTGTAAGGACGTTTGATCATTATAGGCCATCATGAATCGAATGAGTTGCTAACGCAAAACGTATCATCACAAAGTGAATCAAACTAAGAATGAAAACCAAAATGCAATGAAACAAAAATGAAATGAAACTTAAGGCGTGTAATGGTTAAACAAACGACATCAAGTCGTATGGAAGTAAAAGCACAACAAACTTAAAATCAATGTATCTCAAAGAGATGCACGCAAAGCTACATAATGTACTTAAAGTCGGTTTAGACGTAGCGACAACAAAAACAAAGTGTCATACGTAAAGACCATAACACGGAAAAATATCATATCAATGTATCAAACCGGAAATCCAGTGGCATAACGGCATAAAATTAATGTTGAATACGCAGATTAATATCCCATTTACATACCACATCGAAATAAAGTAAACAACAACATGACTTATATTTACTTCATTAATAGAATTGTTACACAAGCTTTGCAACATAAACAAACAAACAGCCAGCAATGGAATATATGCAACCGAGATTCAAATTACCGAAAATAAAACGCAACAGAAGATTCATGTAAACGTTGTACTGAGTTGTACAAGCAGCGTTGTTTTAGTCGTTAAGCGGAGTTTGTGAACAAGTGGTGTCAGAGCAGTTGTCCGAACATTGTTGTTGTGATGCTTCCAAGGTAGTGGTCGGAATAGGCTGAGGGCTTCGCCGGAGCACGCTCTCACAGTGAAGATATACGAATAAGGTTAAGTGTGAATCTATATAGTAATAGTGTGTTTCTCCTTTCTTCAGTTTCAGTTAAAAAAGTGCATGAGTAGTATACTGAAGCAAGGAAATACAAAGGAAATGTGGGAATTTCAATCAAAAAAGAACAATCTTCTTCTACTTTCTGTTTTTTTTCTTCTTTTTTTCTTTTATTCACATTTTTTTAATATTATATTGAGAGTGAGATGAAAATAGAATGCATGAATGAAGGAGAAAACATAAGGTGGTTTTTCTCTCTTACTGTATTTTTTTATTTTCTTATGAATTGAAATTTCAGAGGAAGGCGGGTTCTATTTTGTTATTCGTCTTTTCTCAATTTCTCAATCATCACTATGTATGCATATGTGACCTAGGGCTTTTAATTTTAAAACAAAGACCAAAATGTCCTTCAGATTATTTTAAAAAAAATAGAAAGAGTTCAAACTAAAATAAAGAAAATAAAATCACGCACTCTTAAATAATCAAAACAAAATCAAAATAAAAATGAAAATAATCCTATTTAATTTTTACGAACATGTTGACAAAAAAATAAAAAATAATAAAAATAAAAATGGACAAAAGTCGAGCGCAAAAATGCTCGAAAAAAATAAAATGAATGCACTAAAATAACCAGCGCGAAATAAACCTTTGAAAAACAGACATTTTGATCAAATTTTGAAGTAAAAAATGTTCGAATGAAAGGACTTAAACTGATCAAAATAAAACCGCAAAAGGGGACGAAAAAATAAAATGAGCAAGTAAGGTTAAAATACGCAAATCGTAGATTAATAAAACTGACGTCTGCATGTTCAATCTCAAGATTTTTCGCCTGCTATTCTTATGTGCATTTGAGAAATAATTCAACTGGTTTGTCTGTAGAACCGAAAATTTATTCTGGATGACATTTTTAAGTATTATGCAAAATGAAATGCATGTTATACCATGCATATGATGTAAATGTCATGATGCAGGTACTAATTCAATGATTCAGAGCCAAAATTGGGGTGTGACCAAGGCAAGCATATTTAATATTGATCCACTATCCTTTTTATCTTTAATCAAATACAAAGAGAAGAATCTCCATTTGCAACGGGTAAGGAAATAGACTCCAAGGTTGAAATGCATCTGAATTTTACTCAGGTACAAATAAGAAGAAATGAGAGGAATCTCACTCAAGATTAAAGTGTGATCACTATGGGAAAATTGGACATGTCAAGGCAAAATGCTTTGAGATTGTTGGACATCTAGCAAATTTTGCTCAGACTGCTAAGAGAAAAGAATATCCAGAAGTAGCAACATCAGGACACGCTCTACATGGAGTTCGTTCCAAAAATCATGCAAACCACATGAAAACATGACTGGTAAATTTGAATTTTGTCTAAAATGAATACTTGATAGTCGTGCTTCACACCACGTGACTCCTTTGACCTAAATATTGAAGAAAATCATAAAATTAGATAAACCTTTCTACATAACTACACACCAACGGGGATTTTAACCTTAGATGAAAATATGAGAGATGTGAATTTATCAAGTTCCCTTATGTTAAAGATGTGTTATTGATTCCTGGTTTTAAATGCAATCCGATTTCAATTCATAAACTAACATATAACTTAAATTGTTATGTGATTTATGATCAAAATTCTTGCACAATACATGAATAAGCCTCAAAGAGAAAGGTTGGATCAAGTGACATGCATGAAAGGGTTTATGTGTTCACAAAGCAATGTCAACAAAGCTTCATGAGTGCAGCTACGAAGGACATGGCAACCTTATGGCACATCAGAATGGGACATTCCTCAAATCAAGTTCTTCAACATATTTCACATTTAGTTAAATGTAATTTTGATAAAGCAAATTATTGTGATATATGCCACAAGGAAAAATAATGTAGAAACCCTTTTTCCCTTTAAGTATTAATAAAGTTTAATCACCTTTTGAATTGATTCACTCTGACTTATAGGGGAAATACCATACTGCCACAAAAATGGACCGCATTACTTTCTAACCATTATATATGACTACACTCGTGACACATGGGTGTATTTAATGAAACACAAGACACGGG